CCCGTGAACAAAACGAAACGGCTCCGCAGCGCCGTGAGAGATGCATAATCGCGCGACACAACGAATCAATAATGAAATTCGTTGCCAACGCTTTTAATCATCGATTTTTATCGATTTTATCGATTCGTTGTTGCAGCCCTAGTCCTAGCTCATTTCAGGTCAACGGGGACAACGGCATGATTCTGAATAAAAATTAATTATTATCCAGATGAGTTTGGATGGAAGCCTGCAGCAACTCCGATGCAAACTCCGGACTTCTCTCGAGCACCACGCATCGCTGCTCCTCTGCGCTTCACTCCGCTTCTCTGCACGTCACCCTGCTCGTCTGCTCCTCCGCACCCCACAGCACCAGAGGCCACTCCCGGCGAAAAACGACAAAACTGACCAGAGAGGCTGAAGTCGTCACTGGTCCGGTTCTGCTCCAGTCCGGCTCCGGCACTCTACAGCACGAGAGGCTACCTCCGGTGAACAATGATGAGACTGGCCAAAGAGGCTGAAGTCGCCCCAGGCTAGGTTCTGCTCCGGTTCGGTTCCAGCAGCGCTTCAAAGCATCAGAGCGTTTCCTCTAGGCGAACACAACAATTTCCACAGAGGTGGACAGTCCTTTGTTTAAAGGTAACGGGCTCCTCACTGAAGCCGAGACCGGCTCTATTGAAGACAAAGTCCCCCACAGCCAACTTGGTTCGGTTCTGGTCCTGTTTGGGGACACAGGTACACTTCCTGTTCCTCCACACCGAATGAAGACGCCACGAAGGGCCAGTCCAACAGAAAGCCAGCGAAAAAGCCAGCAAATTACCACCCAGCAATTCTTGTCAGACCCAGGTAGAACCACAAGGTCCAGATGAGAAATTTGTTTGGGTCCAGAGAGAGAAAAAAAACACTGGATCTTCAATCGACAACTCCCCAGCTCGAGGGGTCACCTGGCCGGCAGAGTGTGCTCAGAGTGACCAGTGGGATGAGAGCGGCCGGTCCTGGACCGATAATATAAATATATGTGTATATATATATATTTATATATATATATATATATATATATATATATATTTATATAGGACGATCCCGTACGGCTCTCCGAGTCACTGAACACTGAATTCGGTTGGAAGGAGGACCAACTTTAGTCCAGTTCGAAAAACGGGCTGGGGGGAGTTGTCGTCCATCAGCTTACTGGAACCGGAAGTCGTCTCAGGGACTGAACAGAAACATTCCTATACAAAAATAATAATTGAACATTATTTATCTGAGGAGCAGCTTTGAGTTTAACTCCATCACGGAACTCTCATCTTGAGCGAGCATGAAGGCGACAGTGGAAAGAAAAACTCCCTCATGAGGAAGAAACCTTTATCAGAACCAGGATCAGGACAAGAGGACCATCTGCTTCAACCAGCTGGGTTTGGTAGGAATAGATACACAATGGCAGGTCAAGAATCGTGTTAAGATAGAAATAGTATCAAATGAAAACTATTCAATTTTAACAATTTATTTAAGGAAATTGGGTCAGTTTGTCCTCTAGTAGTCTAAACTTAAGGCAACATAAGCCGATCCCTAACTATAAGATTAATAAAAAAGGAAAGTCTTAATCCCAGTCTTAAAACTGGACAATGTGTCAGACTCACGGACAGAAACTGGAAGTTGGTTCCACAAGAGAGGAGCCTGAGAACTGAAGGATCTTCCTCCCATTCTGCTTTTAGAAACTATGGGGACCACGAGATAGCCTGCAGTCTGAGAGTGAAGAGCTCTGTTAGGAAAATATGGAACAATAAGATCTTTAATATAGGATGGAGCTAGGTTGTTGAGAGCTTTGTAGGTTAGAAGTCAGATTTTGAATTCAGTTCTGGATTTGACAGGGAGCCAACAGAGATAAACTAAAACTGGAGAGATATGATCTTTCCCAGTAACTCCAGTTAAGACTCTGGCAGCAGCATTTTGGATCAACTGAAGACGTTTTAAAGAAGTATTTGGACACCCAGATAATAAACCATTGCAATAGTCCAGTCTAGACGTGACAAATGCATGGACCAGTTTTTCTGCATCATCTTTAGATCAGATGTTTCTAATGTTAGTGATATTACGCAGGTGGAAGAAGGAGGTTCTAGTAATGTTTTTAATGTGGGGGATAAAAGACATGTCCTGATCAAAAATAACACCAAGATTTTTAACATTAGAGCAGGAGGACAGATTAATGCATCTAAGGAGGGAGAAAGACTGAAACATTCATTCCTAAGGTGCTCAGGTCCAAAAACCAAAACCTCAGTCTTGTCTGTGTTCAAAAGGAGAAAATTAAGGGTCATCCAGGTTTTTATGTCTTTAAGACATGCTTGTAGTCTAAGTAGCTGATTGGATTCATTGGGTTTAATGGACAAATATAATTGTGTGTCATCAGCATAACAATGAAAATTTATCCCATGCTGTTTAATAATTTTACCTAATGGAAGCGTAACGTAAAGAGTATTCGTCCAAACACTTTTCCTCCATATGTAAAATGAAGGTCATTATGGACAAACAGATTTTATTTATATCAGACCGCAGGACATGTCTCTGAATAATAACAGGACTTGTTTCACGTCAGATAATGATGCTCACTTTAGCAGCAGTCTTTTGTTGTAGGGTTGATACAAGCATTTTTCACCAACCTTCTCAGGAACACAGAACTCGATTCCTTTCTGAATTGTATGAAGGCAGGACATTCTCATGGAGTTTATACTGGTGTGTACTAGGGCTTTAACAGACTACTCGAGTAATCTACACATCGATTCCTAGGACATCTATCGAGTTTTTAAATTTCGCGTCGAGTATTTGTGGTGATGTCATTACGTCGCCGTTATGTCATTGCGTCATGTGTCACGTGATCCGCACCGGGTGCGGGTTACAAAATGGATTCCTCCAAGCAGACGGATGGAGCAGAGCAGACCCAGTTTTGGCAAACGGGTACAGAGCCTTGTGAAAGTATTCGGGCACTTAAACCCTTCAACCTTTTGCCACATTTCAGGCTTCAAACATAAAGATATAAAATTTTAATTTTTTGTGAAGAATCAACAAGTGGGACACAATCGTGAAGTGGAATGAAATTTATTGGATGTATCAAACTTTTTTAACAAATAAAAAACTGAAAAGTGGGGCGTGTAATATTATTGGCCCCCTTTACTTTCAGCGCAGCAAACTCAGTCCAGAAGTTCAGTGAGGATCTATGAATGATCCAATGTTGTCCCAAATGACTGATGATGATCAATAGAATCCACCTGTGTGTAATCAAGTCTCCGTATAAATGCACCTGCTCTGTGATAGTCTCAGGGTTCTGTTCAAAGACCAGAGAGCATCATGAAGACCAAGGAACACACCAGGCAGGTCCGAGATACTGTTGTGGAGAAGTTTAAAGACAGATTTGGATACAAAAAGATTTCCCAAGCTTTAAACATCCCAAGGAGCACTGTGCAAGCAATCCTATTGAAATGGAAGGAATATGAGACCACTGCAAATCTACCAAGACCCGGCCGTCCCTCTAAACTTTCATCTGGAACAAGGAGAAGACTGATCAGAGATGCAGCCAAGAGGTCCATGATCACTCTGGATGAACTGCAGAGATCTACAGCTGAGGTGGGAGAGTCTGTCCATAGGACAACAATCAGTCGTACACTGCACAAATCTGGTCTTTATGGAAGAGTGGCAAGAAGAAAGACATTTCTCAAAGATATCCATAAAAAGTGTTTAAAGTTTGTCACAAGCACCTGGGAGACACCAAACATGTGGAAGAAGGTGCTCTGGTCACATGAAACCAGAATCCAACTGTTTGGCCACAATGCAAAACGATATGTTTGGAGTAAAAGCAACACAGCTCATCACCCTGAACACACCATCCCCACTGTCAAACATGGTGGTGGCAGCATCATGGTTTGGGCCTGCTTTTCGTCAGCAGGGACAGGGAAGATGGTCAGAATTGATGGAAGATGGATGGAGCCAAATACAGGACCATTCTGGAAGAAAACCAGTTTGAGTCTGCAAGAGACCTGAGACTGGGACGGAGATTTATCTTCCAACAAGACAATGATCCAAAACATAAAGCCACATCTACAATGGAATGGTTCACAAATAAACGTATCCAGGTGTTGGAATGGCCAAGACAAAGTCCAGACCTGAATCCAATCGAGAATCTGTGGAAAGAGCTGAAGACTGCTGTTCACAAACGCTCTCCATCCAACCTCACTGAGCTCCAGCTGTTTTGCAGGAAGAATGGGCAGAACTTCAGTGTCTCCATGTTCAAAACTGATGGAGACAAACCCCAAGAGACTTGCAGCTGGAACTGCAGCTGGAACTGCAGCAAAAGGCGGAGCTACAAAGTATTAACGCAAGGGGGCCCAATAATATTGCACACCCCACTTTTCAGTTTTTTATTTGTTAAAAAAGTTTGACACATCCAATAAATTTCATTCCACTTCACGATTGTGTCCCACTTGTTGATTCTTCACAAAAAATTTAAATTTTATATCTTTATGTTTGAAGCCTGAAATGTGGCAAAAGGTTGAAAAGTTCAAGGGGTCCAGTACTTTCGCAAGACACTGTAGAACTGCATCAATAATGTGGAAATATTTCACTAAAGATGAATCTTCTGGTTCAACTACCGTAAGGAAACAGAGAATTAATCAACTTCCTGACTGTTTGGAGCTCGTTGCGAACCGGTGTTACACCATATTTTGTGACCACCGTATATTGTGACCGTAGGGGGTGGTGTTGTCCCAATAAATTCAAGTGTTATAGAAAAATCTGACTAAATTGTGAGTTAGTTTCAGATTTTGGAGATGTTGGCCGTCCACAGCCTTGTGCAGAGTTGTGTCCTGCCTGTTTCAGGCTAACGGGAATTGTGTGCTAATTGTTTTGTGTCATGCCCTGCTGTAAACATTCAGTGATTGCTGTTTTAACATCAACACAGTGACTGTTCACTTTGTGCACACTATGTTTGAGCTTGCCTCCATTTGGACATGCTAACGAGCTCTGCTCTGTTTCTGCAGGTGAGCAACAATGGCTGTGAACGTGTACGCAACCTCAGTGACCAGTGACAACCTGAGTCGTCATGACATGCTGGTCTGGATCAACGAGTCGTTACTGATGAACCTCACTAAGATAGAGATGTTGTGTACAGGTAAGAAACTAATGATGGATTAGATTTGATCTCTGCAGTATCTACACACAGTTAAAAAGACCCAGGATCTGTGATCCCACATTAAGAGCAGCACTGGTGTCTGGTTGATTAAAATGGTAAATAACACGTTTAGAACATGACAAAGCCTGTTTGATTTTTGTCTTCTATAGTTAATGTGCTCTGGTCCTTAGCTCGGTGTGAATTGGAACAACAGAAAGAGCAGCTCATCTTCATGCTGGTTGTGTGCACCCTCACGTTGTGTCAAAGTGGCCCATTCATGCTGTTCAACATGAGGCGTCATGGATCATTTTGACCCCAGGGCAGCAGCGGGGTGATCACATGTTGCACAGTGAAGGCTGCTCAGTGCACTGAGACCTGCTTCTGTTACTCTATAAACATAACTCCAAGCAGCATTCACTTTTCATTTATTTCACCTTATTTGATCATGTTAGACAGAACAAATGATCCTTTTCTTTTAGGATCTGGCCAAGACGCAGCAGATCTGAAGCAGTAAGACATCAGAGTGAAGTAATAAACAGCTACAAGCTAAACATCAACCCCTACAGACCAAGGTCTGTGTAACACAGAAAGAGCTAGAACAGGTCCATGGCACAAGAACGTAACAACACACAGTGAACAACAAAGTCCATGCTCAATAATCCAGGATTACAATCCCACATTTTTCAATCAGGTCATCTGGACAGTTTCTTTTTTTGTGCTGGAAGGTTTCGCCTTCGATCCAGAAGGCTTCATCAGTCAAGGAAACACACAACAAAACTGATTCTTCCCCCAACAGCTTACTCCAAGGTGGAACAAACCAGTTCACAGACAGTGAGGTGCATGTGCAAGGATCATGAAGGGATGCTGTCACTGAGCTTTTAAAAGAAGCAGATGGGAGAAAAGAAATGAGTTTTAGTTTGTAAATTGTTCCAATCATTAGCAGCAGAAATCTGAAATGAAAGGCTAAAGAAAATGCATGTGTTAACACAGCTCAATGCAGCTGCTGGAGTGGAGAAAACAGATGTTGCCATGGATGTTGAGTTACAAACATAGTGTAGCACTGAGGGTGTGGTTATCTCTTAAAAAACGAATATGAACGTTATAATGGAAAATGTTAGATCTTTAGTCAATTTGCAATGAGTGAAAACCAACAACGCCACCTGGGATTATACTCCAGGAAATAAAAGGACACGTAAGTTTGTTCTACTGGAGGAAGGAGACAAGATTCAAATAAACTTTACCAAATTTATTGTGGGGGTAATTTGCACAAGTTAAAAGTATGCAAAAAGTATTTTAAAATATGCAATACCGGAAAATTTCCTGATGCATGCTCAATAATCCAGGTAGAAAAATCTAAAAAAGTTAAATCTGGTCCTCTGGACATTCAAAAAAAAACAAAAAAAACAAAGCAAATCAACAAAAAAAATGTAGAAATGTTTCATCTCTCATCCGAGAGACTTCCTCAGTCTGAGGTGCTGTTTTCAGCTCAGTCTCTTAAATAGCACCTTCTCAGAGTGGATCAACCAG